GGTACGAGGTGGTAAAAGACTGGTTGGAATCTGAGGAGGGGGGCAGTTTACCAAAGCATGGTATATATTGGATGGGGCTGTAGGGTGTATCTTTGAAGAGTTTGCAATGACAAGATAGCAACTCTTAACTGAAGAAAGCAATAGTATCAGACATTTGGTGAGAATGTACACGGGATCTGAAGAGTAGATTACAGACATAAACCTACAAAAATACCGTGAGGCTTGAAAAGATTTGTTTCTGGGCCTTAGTTTTTGTAATTTGGTGTTGTTGAGGGAGTAATGCTTCACTTCTTGTATAACTTCTAACTTTTATACCATGATAAGTGGTTAATTTATTTATATTTATGCAATAATCATGTTTCTCTTTTCACTAGTATATTGGATAGCTAATCTGTTTAGGTCTTATTTCCTGAAGTTCATTAGATTTTTTGAAGTAAAAAGAAATCCTTAATTTTGTGCCTTCTTTCCAGCTTAGTCAAGTTTGTATTGTTTCTCTGCAGAATTGGTATAGTGGTATATTTGAATAGCACACGGGCTCGAATCTTAAATTTGTCTTTTCCGGGCAACCTGCTGATCCTGCACAGTTATGTTAATAGGGTGCACCAACTCAGTCTCATTTAACTCCCATTTAGCAGTAGGAAATTTCTGTGTTACTGGTACGAATGAATAAGTATAGTCATGGAAAATGCCTGTCTTTCCCCTCTGTTTTACATCAGCTCAAACTTTTGAATGTAGTACATGGTCAAAATGTTCACACTTTTATCAGATGGCAAGATGGGTCCATCATTTAATTGCTTTCCTGCAGAAATTGTGCTTCTACGTTTCATAAGAAGTTAAGCAAGAGATGTTTGCCATCACCTCAAGCATTTATTTGTAACCTTAAAAGAGACTAAAGGCATTTTTTTTCCTGATATTCTGGGTTTGTCCTCCAAGACCAACATTTGTATCCCAGTTGAAGCAAATGATTTAAAAGTCACAAATGTGTCATTAAATCTGTAATCAGAACAGGATTTTTTTTTTTCCTTCTCTTTTAATGAAGACAAATACTAGGTGTCTTGCAAGGCCTTCATGTTCTTCCAGATTCACCCCACTCAAATTTTACGTATATGATGACTAGTTCAAAGTCACTGAAGGGCACTTGTAAAGAATTTGAGACTGTCTTTCTTCTTGCACTCTCTTTTGCGTTCTCTGCCATGCTCTTTCGTGTGCACACTCTCACATAATCCTTGTGCTCTCTCACCAGCTGTCACAAACTTTGTGATATTATTCATTCTTATCTGCTTTTCTGAGATTTTTTTGCTGAACTTTTATAGCTCATATTTAAAATGGCGAAGATTTTTAGAATCACTGAATTGCTGAGGTTGGAAGAGACCTTGGGATATCGTCTAGAACAACCCTCCTGCTCTTCTCAGAGTAGGTTACTTGGAGCTCTGTGCATTCAGGTTTTGAGCATCTCCAAGGAGACTCCACAGTCTTACTGTTTCAGTGTTTCACCACACCCACGGTAAAAAGGTTTTTTCTTGTATTTAAATGGAATTTCCTGTATTTCAATTTGTACCTATTACCACTTGTTCTTTCACTGGATACCACTAAGCAGAGTCTGTTTACTCTCTCCCATCAAGTATTTATACAAATTGATAAAATTCCCCTGAGCCTTCTCTTCTGCAGGCTAAATTATTCCAGCTCTCTCAGCTTTACCTCATATGAGAGATGGTCTAATCCCTTAATTACTTTAGTGACCCTTTTGCTCAAATTGCTCCAGTATATCTATGTCTTTCTTGTGCTGGGGAGCCCAGAACTGAACGCGGTACTGCAGGAGTGACTTCTCCAGTGCTGAGTCACTTCCTTCAGCTTTCTGTCCTCACTCTTCCTAATGCAGCCTAGGAGGCTATCGGCCTTCTTTGCTGCCAAGGGCACGTGGGTCAAGTTGGTGTCCACCAAGACCTCCCAGTCCTTTTCTGCAAACCTGCTTTCCAGCTGTTTGGCCTGCAGCCTGCCCTGGTGCATGGGATTATTCCCCTCTGGGTGCAGTACTTGACATTTCCCTCTGTTGAACTCCGTGAGGTTCATGTTGGTTTGTTTTTTCTGGCCTGTACAGGTGCCTCTGAATGGCAGCACAACTGTTTGGTGTATAAGCAGCTGCTTCTAGTTTTGTATCGTTTGCAAACTGGCTGAGGGTTTACTCTGTCCTATCATCCAGGTTGTAAATGAAGATGTTAAATATTATTGGCCCCATTTTTGACACCTGAGGTACACCACTAGTGACTTGTCTCCAGCTGGATTTTGTACCACTGATCATGGTCCTTTGAAGCCCACCAGTTCCACCAGTTTTGTGTTCACCTCACTGTCAATGTTACCTAGTCTGTAATTCATCAGTTTGTGAACAAGCATATTACGGGAGATAGTGCCTAGGGCCATGTTAAGTCAAGATAAACAACATTCGCTAGTCTCCGCTCATCCACTGAGCTGCTCATTTAAGGAGTGAAGGCTTCAGGTTGATCAGGCATGAATTTCCCTTTTCTAAATCCATGCTGATGACTTTCAGCCACCTTCTTGTCTTTCATGTGTTTGGAACTGTTTTCCAGGATTATTTGCTCTGTCATCTTCTCAGGGATTGAGGAAAGACTGGGCTGGATCTTCTTTCTTGCTGTTTCTTGAAGACAGGAGTGACATTTGCCTTCTCCCAGTCCTCAGGAACTTCTCCTGAACATCATGACTTTCTAAAGATAATCAATTGGCCTCACAGTGACATTGGCCAACTCCATCAGCATTTACAGGTGCATCCTATCAGGTCCCATGGACTTCTGTATGTCTACTCTGTTTAAATGTTCCCTTACCTGGTTCTCCTCTGTCAAGGCTAAGTCGTCCTTGTTCCAGACTTTCTCAGGTCTGGGTCTCAGGAGCCCAAGATTCTTGAAGGCAAATCTTACCAGTAAAGACCAAGGCATAGAAGGCTGTGAGACACATGGACTTTTCCATTGTTACCTGGTCCCCTGCCCCACTCAGTGATGAGCCCCCAGTTTCTCTGGTCTTCCCCTCACTGCTGTTACACCTGTAGACCTGTTTATAGAACGGAGTTTTCCAGCAGGCCCTGCCTGAGTTAGCTGGTGAGTCTGCAGGTTTATCTTTGCATTTATAATCCTTCTCACATCCTTGACTCTGTCCAAAGAGGTGACAGTGTATGACCATCAGTTTGACTGACCACAGCAAAGAAACTTTTCTCCTTATCTGTCATCAGAATGGGTGTATTTGGTATCTTCCAGGCTCATTTGCTGGAAGTTTCTAGACTCTTAATAACAAGCTCCTAAGCCATTTGCTTTACAGACAGCAGGAGCAGACAACTGCAGGTTTAAGTCACTGAAGGAATGAGGCTTAGTCATATCTCACTGGAGTTTTTAAAATTAATGCTAATATGCATTCCTTGCCTGTGCGTCTATTTTCCTTAGAATGCAACTTTGGATGTCAGAAAATACTGGAAAAAAAATGAGGCATTTAGCATTGCATCCCCCTATGAAGGAATTATTGATTCCAGCAATTCAAACTGCACTATAAGGACATTGCAGGAATGTGAATATGTAGAGGGCATCTAGAAGGCAGATACCCTCATTTATTTTGTTTTCTATTTGTATGGTTATTAGTCAATGATTTTTTTAATTATTATTTTAGTGTAGTAAGCTGCATGCTGTATGTAACTTTTCTGTATTATTTCAGGATTCGGTTTTAATGCAATTTTGTGCGAACAAACTAGACAAGAAGGACTTCTTTGGGAAATCTGATCCTTTCCTTGTATTTCATCGAAGCAATGAAGATGGCAGGTAGATGCCTGTTAAGTATTTCTGCTGCTAAACAGTAGGCAACTTACTTATTTGCGAATTTTTTTAATATTTGTCAGATTAAACTATGTTTCTTTTATAATGTTTGTTGAATTTAAGTATATCACGTTATGCAGTATAGGAATAAAAATACTGAAACAAATAGATCAAATACTGCAACTTGGGATTTTAAAAGTCGAATCTATAAATATAGAGCACTATGAAAATTAACTGTAATAAAAATAGTTAAATAGCATTACTTTTGCTAAGATACAGTATGCCTTTAAGTTAAATAGAATTCTCAAAGGAAATTGTAGCTGCAGGATATGTTAATGCTTAGAAATTGCTTTAGGTAAAAACATTTTATGCTACAAATCTGGAAATATCTTTTATCTTTTTGTCTGAGTTCTAGGAAACAGAATTTAAAAATACCTTAAATAGAAAGATTTTTTACTAATGGGTTTTTTGCTTAAATTTGTTAGAGTAGATTAATCTCTCCTGTTCTGCTGCTAAGACTTGACATATGTTGACTTCTGGTCAACATACTCCTTATGTGGGGGTCTACTGGCAGGTTAAGTTTTCTTGGAAACTGACAGTCCTCACATAGAACGTTGTATCAAACCAAAGGTTAGACGTGTTTGATATTACTTGTTTCAGTAGCTTAACTGGAGCAATTGTTAACATAAACCTATGTATAGGTGTATATGTGTGCCTGTTCCCTGCCCTTTTTCCCTCGGAGGCAGATTATAGGAACAGCTTCCAGAATAAACATTGAATACCTTAAATTGCAAGCCTGGAGGAGTTATGGGTCCTTTGTGAATGGCATTAAGGTTATTAGTGGAATTTCTCTGGGCGTTACTGGGAGTGCTGGTATATGCACTTTCTCTTGGTCTTGAGTGCCGTGCTTCTCCACCTCCTTCCAGGAGGTGAGTGGTGAGCCACCGATTCTTTATTGGTCTCCTGAATCCAGCAGGAGGTGGGACAGTACTTCCGCACACGTGGGCACAAAGATGCTTCATTTTCTGTCTCTTAGCTTCAGGCATGCCTTCTGAATCATAGCCAGGATAAAAACATAAGCCTTTGGAGTGTAAGAAAGATATTCCTAGTCAAAGGACTACTTCAGTTACATCTGTATGTAGAATTTCAGTAGCGATTTCACCAGTGACCTTGCCTTCTGTTTTCTTCTGAACAATTCAGTCCCCAAGATGAAGATTCAAAAGAAATATTTTAATTTTGTGTCATTTAGAGAAAGCAGAATGCATTAAAACAATTCATTGTGTTTCACCTGAGAGAAGGTGACTGTGGAATCTCACAGAGGCTTATGTGTTTTACCTGAGGAAGCCCTGGTTAAAAAAATCATAGACATAAAACAGGGAACAAGCGTCAGAAAGCCACGACTCCCTTGGCTCAGTCTCTTAATCGCTAAGCAAGAGTCAAATTTTACGAGACTACTTTTGGTCTAGATCTGTGACTGACTCCTGGCTGTGAAAGGCCTGTTTAAACAAGTGGGATGGAGACTGCTCTTGCCTGAAATAACTCACTGAATGATTGTAATTTTTGTTGAAGTTTTGGGTGAAAACATTTTAAGTTTAGAGTTGTTTAGCATCCTAGTCTGTAATCTCTCTCAAACAGGTCTGTCCTCTTCAGTCCTCCCTTCTCTCTGATTTCGCTGCGTTTCTTTTTTTCCTTATCTTAAATTTTATATGAACATTGTATGAGTGAATACAGATTATAGCTCTTTTCATTCCATGTTTGATGACACAAGAGAAAAAGTAAATAAATACAAAGTATATTGGTTTTTTTTATTACAGTTTTACAATCTGCCACAAAACAGAAGTCGTAAAAAATACATTAAATCCAGTATGGCAAGCGTTCAAGATTTCTGTCAGAGCACTGTGTAATGGAGACTATGACCGGTAAGCTCTTGGTTAAGCTTTCTTAGCGTGCACTTTTTCCCCCCCCTCTAACTCATGTGTTCTTTTATATGTAAGTTTTTCTACGCAGTTCAGTTCCTGATATTATTTAGGTTATTTAATCAGCATTTTGAAAGGATAATATGCATTCAAAACCGTTAATCACGTTAAAGAATTTAGAAGAATAAAGCCAATATGCTAGATCTGTCGGAAATGTTAGTGGTGATTTCTGGAAAAAAATTCTCTGCTCTCTATGGTGTGATTAGTTAGAGACAGTTAGAAAGAAAAGACTAATTTGAAGAATGACCACTGACACTAGTATGCACAATTACTTTTTAATAATGTTTCAATGAAAAACAATGATAACCTGTCTTCCTTGGGTGACATTGTAATGTCAGAGGATGCTGATAAATGAAAGCTTTGAAAATACACATGTAATTAGATAAGAAACAGAGAAGGTAATCATCATCATCGTCAGATTTTAAGTTTTCAGTCATCCCATGCAAAAGTATCCATGTTTGAAAAACGTGGTAATAATACCATGTTTTTAACCAATATTTTACCAATAATAACAAGCAAATCAGTTAGGTTGAGGAACAATGGATATTTTTAGACTTCTTAAAAAATGGACCCATTAACTTCTAAGAATATCTGTCATGTTTTGAGGTCAAAAGACCAGTCTATCAGCTCCCAAGTCAGGCGAGACCCTTGGGTCCGACTCCCCCTGCCCTCTCTTGGCAGCTCAGTAGGTCGGAGGGTGATTCGTTTGACTTATTGTGGGATCCGTCACTAATAGACAAACAGGAGGTAATTTGGCCAGTATACCAGCTCCCAAGTTAGACGAGACCCTTGGGCCCGACTCCCCCTGCCTTCTCTTGGCAGCTCAGTGAGTTGGAGGGTGATTCGCCCACTTATTAGGGATCGTCACTAGTAGTACTATGGGCCAACTCCTTATAATAATTCAAAAGTTTCCGGAAACATGCATATATATTTTATTTGTGACAGAATACAGGTTCGAGGATAGCCGGTGATAGTGACTGACTACAAAAACAACTTTAATTGAAATACTGCAGTGATAATATAAAACGATTACTGATCAGTGATAATATTAAATAGCTAGCAAGATGTTAGTAAGTAATTAAGTAAGTGCGCATAAGAGGTAATTAAGTAAGTGCACATAATTAAGTAAGTGCGCATAAGTTGGCTGCATCAAGAGGAGCGTGGCCAGCAGGTCGAGGGAGGTGATTCTCCCCCTCTACTCTGCCCTCGTGAGACCTCACTTGGAGTATTGCGTCCAGTTCTGGAGTCCCCAACATAAGAAGGACATGGACCAGTTGGAGAGGGTCCAGAGGAGGGCCACGAAGATGATAAGAGGGCTGGAGCACCTTTCCTATGAGGACAGGCTGAAAGAGTTGGGGCTGTTCAGCCTGGAGAAGAGGAGGCTCCGGGGTGACCTTATAGCGGTCTTCCAGTACCTCAAGGGGGCCTACAAGAAAGATGGGGAGAGGCTGTTCAGGAGGGCCAGTTGTGATAGGACAAGGAGTAATGGTTTTAAAATAGAGGGAGGTAGATTCAGGTTGGATATTAGGAAAAAATTTTTTACCATGAGAGTTGTAGAACACTGGAACAGGTTGCCCAGAGAGGTGGTGGGTGCTCCATCCCTGGAGACGTTCAAGGCCTGGTTGGATGAGGCCCTGAGCAACCTGATCTAGTTGGAGATATGCCTGTTCCTTGCAGGGGGGTTGGACTAGATGACCTTTGAAGGTCCCTTCCAGCCCTAACGATTCTATGATTCTATGATTCTATAACTCAGAGTTCTTACCCAATAGGCGTCCCTATGGGGAGGGAGAAGAGAGGTCCAGCCCGTCAACTGATCCCAGACATTCCGATGTGGGGGGCTTCTCCCTAACATCCCCTTTGTTTGCTGCCATTTTTATACCTTTTCATATCTTTTAGGTGGAGCTCAAGTGACTCTAGTCATACACAACTTTTATTAGGATTGGTGTAAATTTCTCTCGTGAGGGGTGTTCACTAATTGGGATTGGTGTAAATTGCTCGTTTGAGGGGTGGTCACAGCTCAGAGACGGGTGGGGGTGTGATTTAGTAGCTGAAGGGCACAATTTTGCCATCACTGCTGAGACAACGGTTGTGGTTCACTTCCTCGATGGCATTTTTATGGTTATCTTTATCAGGCGCCTCTCATCCCTGGTAACAGGGATGAGCCGTGATACCTCCGTGTCACTCTACTCCCCATTTCAAGGATATTGCGTGGGCCTTGTTTGTTGTTTCTTGTCCCCGATAACAGGGATGAGCCGTGATACCTTCGTATCACTCTCCTCCCCATCTCAAGGATATTGAGGCCTTGTTCGTTCCTGGGAGTAGCAGCTGTGTTTCATGTCAGAGCTGCTCTAATATTAGCTGAATTCTAGGGAACAATGTTCTCCCATTCCCCATCGATTTCAGTCATTTTCCCACAATATCAATAAGAAAAATGTTTAACTCCCTGTTGATGACTTTTTGTTATGTTGTCACCATTCATATTTTTGAAATGCATTTAGATACTGGTGTTATTGTTAAGTACCCAGTTAAATGTCTGGTAGTTTATCTGTCTCTGCTACCTGAAATCTGGAGTACAGGAAATATTTTAGCAAGACTTTGAGGAAGTATAGACTTATCAATTAGTCATAATACTTTTAGCAGTGTATAGTGTAATATTTAGTTTAAAATCATGAAGAAAGTATGTGAAGACTAATAATATGCATAAAGCATAAGCTGAACATAGTAGATGGAGAGATATGCTAAGGTTCAGTTGAGCTTTACACAGACTGTGAGAAAAGTACAAGAGATGCAAAATGTACTTGTCTGGGTATTTCAAAGGCAAAAAATAAAAAATGTAGTTTGAATGCCTCCTAACTCCTAAATAACTTTTATTTTATTGAGTTGAGACTGGTATGTTCATATCTTATTACCTTATATAAGTTAGGTATTTTATCTTATTGATTAAAATAAGAAGAGTTTTAATATACTGCATTCTTCTAACCACGAACTAATGTTTCTCTCAGCAGAAGCCAAATCATTTGTTGAACATATTACTGCATGTAGAAATAAGACTTTGCTCAAATTTATAGTTTTTCTATGAGTGTGTTAATTCAGTGAAATGTGTACACTAAAATTATTTTAATCAGTTACCACGAAAGCCTGATCTTCTGGGGAGACAGTCCTTGAACTCGTAATTTACTAGCTAATGTCAAGGGATAAACAAACCAACTCTTGAATCAACTGACTGAATCTCAGTAGTCAATATGAAGAAGAAGCAGAGTAAGAAGTGCTTATATTCGCTAAGCTAAGCAGAATGCTTTCACAGGAATAAACTTAAAGCTCTGCTTATTAAAAAGTCAAAAGCTAATTGACTTGTGATTTTTTTTTTCCTTCCCTAGGAAAGTGGTATTTTTTAATTATTTTTGGAGGGAATGGAAATTTTTAGTCTTTACTACTGAATCTTAGCTGTTTTATTACATCTGTGATAATCTTTCAGTACTTGATATCACATTCATTGAAACTGAAGGAAAAAGAGTTCTAAGTTGCTGATACTCTCCTTGTGTACAACTTGATACAGTCATTGTTAGCCATGTTGGTTACTCTTTCAACTAGATACAATAAAAATGCAGCAATTTCATAGTGTATATTCTAATCAAATAGAGTTTTTAACTAGTATATGGGTTCATGTGCATGATACATAAGCAAAATAGTGCTCATGAAGCTAGTTTCTGGTCGCTGCACTATTTATCTTACTAAAGAAAAAAGTTTATCGTAATAATTAAAAAAGATATTGTGCTAGAAGCATATTGAAATAACTCCAGCATTCCAAAAGAGAATTAGGAAGTGTAATACCATGCCTCAAATAATTGTGTTAACTGCTGTTTTCTCATGTTGATTCTACTTTGAAGTTTTTCAATGTAATGTGCTCAGTCAATGCCTTATGAATAAAAGGCTACATGGAAGTCATAATCCTGCCCACAACAATCATGTTTCAAATCAAGAAATCATTAGCTGTCAGATTAATTCAAATTAGAATCTGCTTATAGTCCAGAAAAAGCATCCAATGTTTGTTTTTTTTTTTAATTTGAAAACTCTTCTTTCTAAAGGTAAGGATTAGATTCCTAAGCTCAGCATGATAATACATAAAAACACAAACCCCAGAAGTCTCTTTCAGTTAGTGATAGTTTGACAGATCAAATTTTGGTGCTCTGGGTTGTATGATAGATGTGAAAAGCAGGAATAATGTCAGTAGTAAGAATATATCACAGTAAACATTCATTCTGGTTTAGGGAGAGTAAATCTTCAGTTAGTATATGCTTCTGAGTGAACCTTGTCTACTTTTTCATTGTGAAAAGGTCAGGGTTTGCTTAATTTTTCTCAAACTATATAATTATACAACATGTTTTCAGCCATCACAGGAATGGGATTTCAGGGATTTTGATACTACAGTAGTACTTAGTATCTCTAATGTTTTTGTTCTTTTATTTCTTTCTCTTGATATGAGTTCTCAAATAGCACTTACACACAGTTATTTTCTGCACAGAAGTTTTAAGACAGAGATATCCTAAACCCCAACCTTCTCTAATCTTGATTTTTTTAAATTAAAGATTTCTTACAATTAAAATAGAGAACCAGTCCTCTAAACTGTGTTCTTTAAGATTAAAATAGCAATGTAGAGAGGGTAAAATATCAATATGTGAAGATTTGAAAGGCCTTTAATATCTTGCATGTCATGCAAAATAGGTAAAACTCAAGGTCTGTGATCAATTCTCTTTTAATATGAAATAAATTTCAGGAGAGAGAAGCTTTATTCAAGGAAGAATTGCTTTTATTGAAGTTGCATGTCTGAAGGTTCTTCTCAAGAATTTTGATAGTCTTAAGAATTTATCTTAATAATTCAAGGTTTCTCTCTGAGATGATTTGGCTATTTGAACACAGATTTGTATGACAATTCAAAACTTAAGTCCCACTAAACCTTATGTAAATCTTAACTTACTAGTGTGTCCTGTCTATCTAATAGTAACGTGTTTTGAAACCTGGACATAAAATAATGGTTGTCTAGGAGAAAAAGCCTCTGGGATATTGCCTTTCTTACTAACTTAAATATGGTTTCCTTTCAAGGGTCAAATACTTGGTGGGATAAAGTAGGTTTGGAGTTCTTCTTGATTTCATTCCATAGAACAACTTTCACTTTAATCAGTTTTCATTCTAAGGTAACTTAACCCCAAACTGAAATTCCACAAGAGGGGTAAAATGTACCAAATGGTGTGGTAAGAGCCATGAAATTTGAGTTGACAAGAGAAACATCCAGACAAAGCAACTCCTCCTTTGCCTATTTTGGAATATCATAAAAAATGTGAAAAACATCTACACATGAATTTGTTGGTGTACATAATATCAGCTGCTGATCAGCTTTATCTCCAAAGAGTCCCTTCCTAGTTAAGAAAATTATTCAGCATGTAATCAACTGTATCTCGTAGGAAGAATGGGGAGCAGCTTCTGTGGAAGCAAATTATAAAGTAATTGCTTGGATTCCTGTCCCCTCTATTAATACTACAGACCTGATGAGTTCATTTCATGTGAAACTGTTCTGAAGAATAAAAATAAGCAAGTCATTGCTTAAAATATAGGAAATCTGGAGGTGTTATTTTTCTATCCCATGTTTAGTTTTTTTTTTAGGCCGGATAGGATTCATTATTACTGATCTTTTAATTTACCTATATATACCCTCTTTCTGTAGTAAGAGGAGATAAATAAAATTATGTCTCCATCCTGATATGTTTCCTGTTTTGTTAATGATGTTGATGATGATATTCTCTGTAGTATTTGCATTTTAAGAAATCCACTCTTCAAGTAAGTATGTAAAATAAGATTCATCATTTACGTGGGTATTTTTCATTTTCTACATTTTGTCTATTTCCCATTCTTCCCTGAAGCAAGAACAATTAGAGCTGGCTGCAGAGATTCACTTTACTCATAAAGAAACAGTTCATCTCCACATTCTTCTTCCATTTGCAGCTTTTCCATGTGTATCGTCATAGAATGATTTGTGTTGGAAGGGACCTTTAAAGATCATCTAGTCCAACCCCTCTGCCATGGGCAGGGAAACCTTCCACTAGATGAGGTTGCTCAAAGCCTCATCCAACCTGGCCTTGAACACTTCCAGGAATGGGGCATCCACAGCTTCTCTGAACAACCTGTTCCAGTATCTCATCATCCTCATTGGGAAAAATTTCTTCCTTATGTCCAGTCTAAACTCCTTCAGTCTAAAAGCATTTTGCCTTGTCCTGTCACTACAGACCCTACTAAAAAGTCTGTCCCCATCTTTCTTATAAGCCCCCTTTATATATTGAAAGGTCGCAGTAAGGTCTCTCTGGAGCCTTCTCCAGGCTGAACAACTCTGGCTCTCTCAGCCTTTCTTCATAAGAGAGGTATAATATCAGAAATGTGAAGTAATGCATAGGAGGTACCTGAGCTTCCTTGTTGGGTCATGCTTTTAGTTAAACTGTTTCGTATCCTGTCTCAGTATCCCGATTCACTCAGTTGCCAATTGCAGATTCATCAGGGGCATGCTCAAAAAACTATATGAAACCATTATGTACTTAACGTTTTTCATGAGACGCTTCTCTGAGAGTTTGCCAATTACTTATTTTATACTGTGAAAAAATATTTTAGATCCATGTATTATTTTGTGCATATAATAATCTACTAGTTTATCTTTCAACTGTGCTTTAAATGAAGTAAATTCTAATTAGTTCTCCTATTGAAGAAGTGTTTTCACTGAGTACTTGTGTGCTGGCAGACTTTATTACCCAGCTTGCTCACTACCTCCTGATTCACTAAGAGGAGGGTGAGTATTCCCACAGTGTCCAGGGCCATCTGTCAGTTTGGGAAAAACTGGTATCCAGAGTCTGTCTGCCTCTTCGTGTTCCCTGCCATACCCCACGATCCGCTTGTTCCATTTCATTTTAGGAAGCCAGATACTTCTAGATGGTAATGCTGTATAATCTGATGTTTATCTAGTGTAATCTGATGAAAGAACTAAACAACTATCCCGTTGGCTTTATGGGAATTAAAAAAAAAAAAGTTGCACTTTTCTGTCCTCTTTGGTCAGATAGCCAAGCAGCTGCCGCCTCTATTGATGAGCAGGGTGCAGTTTAAAGAGGGGAAAAGTGCAGTGTTTCATTTCTTTCATCTACAGTCACAGGCAGGGCCTTCACAAAATTTTGGGTGGTTCTCACACAGTTTTTGTTTGTCACCACTGCTAAATGTTTACAAGAGATTAATACTGTCTCCTAGATTGAAGCTTTATTGTATTCTGGAGTTGTTATTTTCATTTAAGAACAAAAATGTATGGACTAGAATTCCTTACTGCTTTAAATGTGCTTTACTTTGCATTGTGAACATTGCTTTCAATCTGTACTTTGCTGTTCAATAATGTTGTTTTATGAGGACCTTCTCAATCTCTGCGCACTTCTCAAATATGGATGTATGACTTCTTTCTGTAAGATGTTATTACCCCACAGTAGATGGTCCTTTTCCGGATAATAACATATACCTAAACAACCTTTGCCATAAGTTCCAATGTGTTTCATTGTTTCCTTAGCTTCTGCTGTATTTTACTATTAATTTATGAACGTTTATTTGGTAACTTGAGTGACTTGCTATTTCCTACCCTATGAGAAATGACTGGGAAATTCTGCCTTCTGATTTGACACAATTGATGCACCCATATGCTATTAAAATACAACTAATAAAGGCAATCCTGGTACATTTTTATATTTTAATAGGGTTGTATTTTTTATTTTTTTAGGACAATTAAAGTAGAAGTGTATGATTGGGATAGAGATGGAAGGTAAGACATTATTTTTGTTGTTAAACTTTAGGATTATCCATGCATATTTATACATGTTTTAAAATGTGTAAATATATAGTGACTAGAACAGGACTAGAGAATGATCTTTATCAATATTTAGAGGCACGGCTACTGGAAAAAAGTTTTTGCTGTGCTACAGTTCTGTTTTGTATTGCAGTTGTGGTAAACACTGATGTATTAGCCCATTTCAAACATGATGTGTGTATATACGTACAACGTACATGGAACAAGCAAGATGGAATGATCTGTAAAATCAGTTCTGTGAATCTCTATCAGTTACGGTACATGTATGAAGAGAGGGACAATCCGTTTTATAATCTGCTTTCTTTTGCTTAAAACATTACTTCATAAACTGTTGCTTTTCAAATATGATAAAATACCTGAGTCTGCAATTGCTACTTCATGGTTGCCTAGATATTGCAAGGTAGAAACTACCTATTAATTAGCATAATTTCAAGTTGGGTTTGAATGTTCATTTCCATGCCTGTCTTCATCAAAGCGTTGTTGCAAACGCTAGAGTTGGAGGACCTGGATTTTAAATAACTCCATTGCCAGAAAGAGGATGGTGGAATATACGTGGAATTTCTGTTGCTGAATTCAAGAGGAGCAGTCTGTTAATATTCAAGCTTGCTGTCTGTGCTGAGTATATCTTTTTTCTGAAGAAATTAGCCTTATTAGTCCTTTATTTGGACAAACAAGATAGAATTATTTTTTATCAGACTGAATTGATACTTCTTGTTCTTTATAAATGTTTGGACTTGTATCTTAATACTTTGTTTAGAAACTGTACTCATAGATCGTGCTACTAGAACTTGTATGTAATACAAGAATATGTTAATTTCTATTCATCTTTAAGTTGATCTGTCTTAATTATTTCCTATTAATCTTAATTTATATTTTAAACATATAAATGTGCACTTACATTTGGATTTTTAAGAGTAATTTTTTTATTTTACAGTAACTTCTTTAATATTGCTAATGCAATTTACTTTTAGTATTATAGCTAATGAAATTGTGCCTCTGTGGCCTAATAGATCTTGTAATCATAATAGGTAAATTTCTCCTGTGCTGCTATTCATTTCCTTACTGGCAAGGTCCAAAACCAGTTTCAGCTTTCTCAGCTTATATTTTTGTCTTTTTGGTTCCATCGTGAAGCCTGTTGATTTATAAGCATTCTTATCACATATTTACCCTCTATAAATACCTGCTAGTGCAAATTCATCCTTCTTGATTAGATGTTCCCTGGAGGGACAAAATAACATATTCTGGCAATTAAAACCACAAGGATTGTAAATTAACAAAGCCATATTAGCAAAAAAATCACTGCATCACTGTAACAATGAATTTCTGTTAACAGCCTCTGTTCCTCACTTAGATTTGTCAAATCTTTAAAAATGTAAAGTATTTACACTTTTGTGTATAAACGACAGTATTTTTTGAAAATAATCTAACAGTGCTAAATTAAATTATATTGCCAAGTTAATGAAAAATAAATATTATATTTTGTTAAGGCATCAAACCCCATGTGCTGTCCCATTTCTTCCAAAATCTGAAACTGAGATATGATTAAAAAGAAAAGGAAGAAATCTGACAAATAATATAGCATAGCTGCAATTCTGAGTGAAATTTTCAACATACTGTGGACTTCAGGCAATCATTAGTGTCTACACTCTTCCAAACAGCTTGAAATATTATTGCTCACAACCCACTCTGAATACTTATAAAATTAGTGTCTAAAAACCAAAAAGCGAAGGTTACTATTTACATCTATTTCTTTTTCTTTTATTTGTATGATTTTTTGCCTTTTGCTTTCTACTTTTTTTGAATTTAGAAGCAGGCAGAACGCTGACATCTTACATGTTAAATTCCTCAGAAAGACGAGACAGCACTCATCTCATGTAGCTTCAGACAATGCAAAAATCAGACAACTAGATTGAACTAATCATTTAAGTTACTTCAGTATCTTACAGGGGAAATGGTCTGATTGAACCCATCCTAACTGGAATAAATTGCCAGTTGGTGGTGCCTATGACTTACTAGTGATTGCAGCAAGAACCTAAGTGCCTGATTTAACTTTGACATTGCCAAATGCATCTGCAGTGAATCCCATTCAAGAATTAGTCTGTCAATTTTTTTGTACAATGCTGCTGTTACTCAGTTTATATCAGTTTCTGTTTTTGATAGACTCTTTGGTTACAAGCAGTTGTAACGCTGGCTGATCACCTCACTAGGCTGAATCTCTTTGCTCCAGAGATGTGCAGTCTGAGCAGGAGCAACCTTTGAAAGGTCAACAGAGAGCCTGCTAGATAGCCAAGCGAGTTATACTGAATGTACTCTGTATAATATACAGAGTCTGCAATCAGGAAGGCAACATTACTGTGCAGATACTTGATTTCTGAATCTTTGCTTATCTTGACTCTGACTTCTTGGGTCTTGACCTAGAGTTTTGGGGTTGTCTTCCCCATTCTGTTATCTGTGCTTTGGGAAAGCTGCACCAGGGTGCATTGGATTGAGCTTCTTACTGTCATGTTCATGAATTAATTGTATATTCTTAGCTCTCATTTATTTTCAAACATCACTTAAAATTTCTTGACTAAAGGGTAATACAGGACCTTTGTAACATTAACACTATTAAGTATTCAATGTTTCTTTGTCTCAAACCAGTTTTTGCGCAAAAATTGTCAAAATGGGAGCCACTTGTTCTAATTGATACCTTTTATTGCTCCAAAATATTTGATGCTATAAGAAGTCACAAAGTTGGTTTTGTTGCTTTGGACAAGCCCACTTGTGTGAAACAGAGTGGCTTTTTTTTTTGTTGTTGAGTGTCCTTATTAATGAAGTACTTGCAGACAGGTCTTATGGAAGGAAAAAAATAAGAGGATGTGCAACTTCACATCAGCACATCAGCAATACTCTGATGTTTTTATTTCTCTTCTAAGGCCTTTTCACTAATTTCAGATAAATTGTTACTTAGCATACATGGTGCAAAAGCCATTTGACAATCTTGACATTTATGATCTGTTACGCAGAATAAGTGGTTTTTTCTTGAATTTGAAGACTCTAAATATTACCATGCTAACCTGAGGCCACTGAAGCATTCATCTGAGAGTCTAAACACTGCAGGAGAGATTGTAAATTTCAGATTCTAGGCACTCTCACCTTATTTCTTGTCCTCCATCTTCATCCTCCTTCTCCAGCTAGATAGTTGATTTTTAAATTATCGCACTTTTCCCCTCTCATTGACATATTTCTGGTCATGATTTTCCTATCCTCCTTTTTTTTTTTTGTAGGTCATCAAAAAAATCAAAGTTAATACAATTCTGAAAGTGATTTTCAGCACTTTACTATGCAAAAGCATGGTACCAAAAGTGGCAGATTTAGGAAGATATGGTTCAAGTGATTATTTTAAATGTTAAGAGTCTCCGATTCAGTCTTCTGATATGCCACTCATGGACAAAAGTCTTTTAAGTCTAGTAATATTTGGTGTCAGGAAGGCAAAGAGAATAACTTCTTTGGATTCTCAATCCAGAGACTAGTAAGGAGATCCATTTGGTGAAGTGTGATTATGAGTATTGAGAGGGATCAGTGCCTTTTTTTTCCTTAACAAGTTACACTTCTGGCAAAGGCAAATGTCTGACAGACACTTGTCTTCCAGAGGCAACCTAGTGGAGGGCTGTACATCCCTCTGAATACTGAGTGTTAAGATCCAGGTTGATGATCTTTCCAGCCTGGTTATATATGCCCATACCTTTTTAACGTGATTAGTCAGAGGAATTATATCTTTCTAGCTCAGTTCTTGTCAGTCTGTGTATACTGGCGCAAGGAAAGGAGCTTTTCCAGTGTCTCTTAGAGTTAAAGAAACAATTACTTTTAAGCAGTACAGACTTTTTTCCCCCAGAGACAGCCCTGTCTGAAATTGCTTATGTTGCCTCTGTTTGCTACAGCATGTTTGTAGGTAGTCATTCAGCTATTGTTTGAATTCCTGCCTTTGAAATATACAAGCCAACTTGAAAATTTAAGGTTAGAACTATTATGAAAAGGAAAGGTTCCTCTTTAACCAAGGTGCATTTTTCTCCAGTGCCATGGTTACCTAAGGTTAGATACACCTTAAGTGCTACTGCTCATGTGGAACTCAAGTTCTGTAGCCTGTATGGATGGCTTGCTTTGTTCCCCTGGTTAAATAGTCATTGCAGTCTGGAGAGCGGTTTATCAAAGGAAGTGATACCTCCAAAATATGTTTCTAAGAAAAGTCTTAGTCTGTCTCGGAAGCAGTTTCCTGATCTCCAAACTGGAAGGGGAGTGTTTTGTGAAAGGTGGTCCTTTCTGAATCTGAGTAATCAGGAATATCTTCACCATGTATTATTTCTCAAGCTTTCTTACAGGATGATTTGCTTATTTCATGTGCATTAGCAAGATGAGAGGACATTTTAGTTGTTTGTTTTACGTATTTGTGAATTCATGCTGGTTTCAGAAAGTGAGATTTGTATTTGGAGTTTGTTGTTTTCATTTCATTATGAATAAATCAAGAAAAAAAAATCATGTTACTGTGGGTAGTTTCCATTTTTCCTCTTCTTGCAACATTCAGATTTATTTAAATTTTCTTTTAATATTTATAGCTTAATTAGAAGTGCACAATATTTCTTGAAAAAAAATTTTACAAGTAACAAAGTCATTAAACTTTGACTTTCTATTCTAGTTTATCATTGAAGGGAAGGTAAAAAAAATAGTTTCACAGCTCACCAGATGTGGAGGCAGAGTGTAGAGAAGATACAACGCCTTGTTAGGGAATAACTGAGAAAACAGGAGGAGATGGAGGCAGCAGGGGAAAATGAGAGTTGGAGCAGCAGTAAGGAAAGTTCAGCTGGGAAGAGGAGAGAATGGGAACAGGTCTTGTGACTGCTGGGAGTTGTGTAGCCAGATGTTAGGCATCGCCCCTGCAGTCGCTTCCATTCCAGGTACCTGTCTGAGATATGAACCTGCAGTTCAGTCACTTCTGGCAGCCGTGTGGTTTCTGTACCCCAGCTCCCTGACCCCAGCCACCTTTCTCAGTGATGCTTCATCCACTACCTTCCCTCTGGCCACCCTGCTCACAGTGGCTCCTTGGCAGCATGCCATCCCCTGCTTAAGAGTTGACAAAGCAGATTTCAAAAGGTGGGTGACAACACAGGAGTGTCAAATGTATTCTTGGAGCAGGAATAGAATTTAGAAAAGAGAAGCTTGATAACCACTGCTTTCATGTTAGGTTAAGATCTACTTTCCAATGGCATCTAATACCGTAGCCTCAGTGAATTGCTTTTCTCCTCCCAGGGGGGAAGACATAGCAGCAGAAATAAGCTTTAGGTCTTCCCCTTAAAAGTACCGTTCAATGCTATATTACAGAAATTGGTAGGGTTGGTCTTTTCTGGTTTAAGTTACTCTTTTCACACTCTGAGCATCTCCCTTTCTCTCAAATAGTCTCACACACAGTTCACAGTCTGTGGTGCCAGTGGTGAAGCAGTGAGAAAATGGTGATAGTCTTTCATAGTCCACTCTGTTTTTTCAGATTCTCTAAGCTTATATTGGGTCAGATCACTAATTTACAACCTAGTCCTCGTTGTGCACCTAAATTAAGCAGAAGCGATCAGAAAGATTTAAGCTAGTACTTTTCATCTCTAAATTTTTATTACTGATACAGTGAACACACAACAGAGGGAGAAATAAAGATTATTTTTTTTAAAGCAAATTATATCTTTTGTCATTGTTTCTTTCCTGGGTGTCAGTTCATATTGGCTGTGCATCCGTTTTTCATAAATTTATCTAATACATGGATAAATTACTAAATGCTGTGCATTTGATTTGAAAACTCTTTTTCTATGCAGCCATGATTTCATTGGAGAATTCACAACAAGTTACAGAGAGTTGTCAAGAGGGCAATCTCAGTTCAACGTATATGAGGTAAGTATTGTGAGTATTTACTCACTCTCAGGAAATAAATGAAGAACACTTCCAATGTTTTTTCCTGGAAAACTGGTCCAATCTGCACAGTGCTTGTCAAAATCAAACTTTTGAATTATTTCACATTTCTCCTTTTATAAAGAATGTGTTCATGTGTATGCACACTGGGCTGTCGTAGGGCAAGAAGAGCACTTCAAGCAGCTGGATTGGTGTGACATAACTTGGAGGAAATACTGGGTTACCTCCATTTGTATATGAAGAATTTGTTGTTTATTTCTCCTTTTGCCAACTTTACTTGTGGTGTATGCTGTTTTCTCATATTCAAAGAACATCTGGTGATTCCTGTATGAGCTGCAGGCACATGCCTTTGATCTTAAGTGCAGACTTTAGAATGTTTAGAGTTTTGATGCAGAGCTTACAAGTGACAGACAATTTAGCTTACTTATTGGTAGGGTTTTTCATGTGGTCAGTTACCATCTTTGCTTAAAAATTTGCATCTCATTTCCAATTTAGAATTCCTACATCTGCCAGCTACTGGGATTGACAGGCAGTTGTAATTTCAATTAGAGAGTTTTATATAGTTAGATGACTTCTAACTTGTGGTAAGATCTTATTATGTATTGTAGGTGAATGCAGACTACATCCACATTCCCTCTTAGTCTTCTTTCTCTTTTCTCCTCAGGGCCCTGTGGCCAAAATTGTGCAGGCTTGTTTATTTCAGATCTAATAGATGCCTAGTTTAAGACTTGTATGAGATAATTTGGATCTGCTAAAAAGGTAAACTTTTTTCCCCAAGATCAAATTTTACTGAATCTCCAAAATATGTTGTCATTTATTCTCAGAAGCAGTCAGTGAGTTTGTGCAAACAAATATGAGGTGCACAAATTTGAAGTGTCATAAAGGGACACATTTTTAGCTTTTTTTTTTTTCTGAAAGATCCCTTTAAAAATTATCCCAGATTTAGGCACAAAAAAATGACCGCAAAAGTCTAAGCATTAAAACTTATGCATTAAAACTTCATTTTTAAATTAATATTCCAGAAGAATCTCAGTCTGGAATGAGAAATGTACCATGCAATTTCAAAATGTGTTAAATAAGGAGAGGCAATAGGAGGAAAAGATTTAAAATGTATTTTGTCACTGGGAAGAGATGTCAACGTACAGACTCTTCCTAAAATGCATTACATTCTGCAGTGTTAAACTCCAGCTTATATTTTTATAGGTCCAAGAAATTTCTTTTTCAGTTTTGAGTCTCCGTTATTTTTATGCATAACTTGGATCACTGCAGCTTTACCTTCAGTAGGTAACAGTGTGTGGTACTGTAACTTCAAATACAGTGAATGTGCTCCCCAGCTAGAAGCAGTGCAGGTGAGTTAGAGCTGGGCTGCATCTGATCTAGTAAGTTCTGCCTAGACTGTCTTAGCCTAATGATCAGTTCTGGTGCTGATGTGACATGGTTATCTTCCTTTTAGGACCAGTGGTAGGAAGTCTACCTATACATGCTGTGTACACATACTGGCTTGTCTAGGTCTGTGTCAAGTATCTGCATGGTATTGAATCATGTACTTGGAGTCATCTGTAAAATTCTTGTAAAAGAAATTGATTTCTTTCCCGTGGTAAAACAATATGGAGCATTTCAAGTTCCGCCTCCTTTTTTGTTTTGTTTTGTGTGTATGTACAAAAGCCAGGAAGTATTGCGTCTGATTTAGGTGATACGGGTAATTGCCCTGTATTTCCTTTTACCATTTTTTTTCACCCAGCAGTAGCCTAGTGGTCAGGGGTACACAACAGCACCTAAGGATCTAATTCACCATTCTAATAGTAGGCATTCTTGATATGTTTGCACAAAACCCCACAGCTGTCTCGTGATACTGATGTGGTGGTGGTGTTTGGGATCAGCTGGTCTGCTTAATTAGAGCAGCATTGCCATAAGGAGATGCACCCTTCAAGGGCTCAAGAGTAGCAATTTTCACATGGAAATAATGCATGTATTCCAGGCACCTGTATATTCCCTTTTGTGAAAATACATGCTATTGCATTTTCACACACATATGCATATGTCCAGCCATTTGTGTTAAAGCTTTTTAGCACCCTCTGTCTTACAGGTGCTTGTAGACAAAGTGCATGGATTGTGCTAGATGCTTTCGGTTTCTCTAAGGTGAAGTTTTGAATCTGTAGGTTTTGCTCTGTAGGTCTTTCATAGCCTCACTTACTGAGACTTGCAAAGAGCTGCCTTTGTTTTATTTTTAACTTCACTATTTTGCTGTCTTTCTCAGTCACTTCTGTTCTCATTTTTACTGTCTTTCATTTCTGGACACAAGCATTGACGCAATACAAGAAAAGTACTGTTTAGGCAAGGCATGGTCTGTGCTGTATTTATCATCCTAAGATGTTTATATACCAGGAATAGAGGAACCTTGGAATTGTTCAAGTATGAAGTTCATATTCAGTGCTTTAGATCAGAGTCATTATTGTGTATTATAGGTAGACTTTTTCGGTATGCGGTATTTTTATGTTTTCCAGACAGTATATCTGTCTAATAACTCTTTGACAGATCCTTTTGATTATAAAACATCAGATATTGTGTCCCTTTCAGAGTTTATGAGTAGTATTAAACACAGGAATGGTCCAGTTTTGAGTTTAGTTGTATCTTCCTTTCTTCCATACTGAAGAGGCTATAGTCTCCTCTCTAGAGAATTTACAAGATGTTTGTATCAGTTGAGTAATGAACATAACCGAGGAAAATACAACTGCCAAAGTGCCTAAGGGAAAGATAGGAAGAGTGATAGTGCGTCCTACTGGAAATTGTCTTCATTTTGCCTTGTTTCTTGAAGCCTGGCTCTTTGAGTTAGACCTTGACTCTTACCTTCATGCAATAGGTTGCTGTCATCACACCACAGTAAAAATACCCATTCCTGGGTCTGATTACCAGCAGGATTATTCTAATTAAAAGCAGCCATCTCTTGGAAAATGTCATCATACACAGAATCCTCTCGCTCTTTAGAAGTTCTGGTAGCATAAAATGGGTCCTCTTACTGCATTAGCATTTTCAGCTCTTGTCTTATATAATGCAGACCAAGTATAGGAACTGAAGTAAAAATAAGGTGCTTAGCTTTCCCCACCCCACCCCTGTTGTTTTAGAAGTCCCTAGAAGTATTTCTTCTTTCATGTATTCTGGAGGTCTTTCCCAGCATCTACTGGGACATTGTATGTGATGTTTTTCTTGGTATTTCTTTAGTGACTCTATCCTTGATCTCCAGTGTTACTAGAAGCCAAGATTTTGATCTTATCCCTCCCTTCCCACCTTCCCTGGGGAAAAGTAATATCTAAGGCTCCTCAAAAGCAACAATGGTCATACGTGCCATCTGAAAAAACAGGAATAGCTTTTTCCACCATATCTCCCTTTAATGTAGTCTTGTTAGTATGAGCATCTCCTCTTTCAAATTAGCGTCTAATTTGCCTTCAAATTTTACTGCAGGTAATACAGGCGCTTCTGCCATGTGATGCCACCTGGTGACCTGTGGATTCATACGGGCGGTAGTTGCTTTTGGGATGGTTCCATGACTAGCTGTCTTGAGGACTGCAGTTCTATTCCCTCTTTGTCTGTTCTGGTAGGACAGCCTATTCCTGAATTTAGACTCACGTATGTGTCCAGATTGGCGAAACTCCTGACCAGCCTGTCTGCGACATGTTCATTGATGTAATCTTAATGCCATGATCAGAACTTGTTTCAGTTCTGATTCTCCCAAGGGTGATTCAGATGTGAGACAAATCCAGCTAAGTAGTCATGGTTATCCTGGCAGACAGTTTAATTTCAAGACCTCTTATGTCCCTCAGAATAAATACTTAAGACCTTCTCCTGGGGTTTAGGTATGCTTTTTGAAGGATTTAGGTCAGCTTCTGTATTTGCACCATGAATTCCAGCATCACACAGTTTACATGCACAGTGTCTCAGAATTGAAATGTGTTTTTTCTTCCTCATGGAAAGTTACTCTTGCTAATAATGAGAAGATAAGCCTATGTGGCTATAGCCTTTTTTTTCTGTATGGTGTGCAGGTATTTGTTATTCCTTAAGCTATCCTTTAATTGGTCTTGGACTACTGCCGTTAAACATCAGGATTTTGTGAGATTTCATATTCCTAATATAGGTGATCACAAGTATGATGGTTTAGGCAAGCACTGATGCAAGGTAGGGAAGGAGGGTGCTCCAATTTTGTGCTGCACTTTTCTTTTGAAGATGAGCAAAGGTGCTGCTGTGCAAAGCAGGACAAAGATAACTGAAAGCCATGGGGTTTCTTCTTTTTTAGATCCAAGATCAACCCCAGAATTACTGTAATTTACAGCAGTTTCCTGTGGATAGTGTCACAGCACACATTACTGTATGCAGTGAAAATGTCCTCTCCTATTGTATCACTGACGTAACTCCTACCCTACCAGGAACATTCTGTCATAACATCTTAAGTCACTTTGCAGTTTCTTAAATATAGTATCAATATCTTACTCCCAGCAATAGCGTACATTTCCTGAGCATCCCATATTTGCCTCCCGACATTGCAATCCTCTGTACTTTGGTACTGCTTCTACTTGATCAGTCTGTGCAATATCAGAACAAAAGAGATTGGACAAATTCTTTTTAAATTGTTTTGCGTTTACAAATTAACTCAAGACAGGTAGAGAAATTTGTGTTTGAGTCGGTGTCCCGTATTTTCACATTAGAAACATTGCTATAACAAGCTGTTTTCAGTTGACTTGTTTTTAATAGGTAGGAGTTCATATAGCTTCCTAGGTGGAAGGCTTTCAGAGGCTAAAAAATGGGTTTTATTTATAAAGTTATCTGAAATTTGAGAAAAAAACCCACAGAAATATTGTAATATTTATAGTACCTGGAATTATAGGAGAGAGACAAGCTGTGATTTAATTAATCTTTGATACCAAGTAGATGTCTTGTTTCCCATGATATTTCACTCCAAGCTCTAGTGCATTTCCTAGCAATTCCTAAGAAACCAATTGTCAAGTTACCTGAAGCAGAAGATGCAGATGAATGTCCTTCTGGCATTTAATGACTGCTGGCAAGAAATATGCTGCTAACTCAGGCCTGATCACTGGGTTCTGGAGAATTGTGAATGAAGGGCCACAGGGCAAGCAGGCAGTCTGTTACCTTCATCTTCCTCTCTGGGCAATTGTCAGCAGAAATCACTTTCTGGCTAAGATTCTGGTTCAACAAGGATTACTGCATTTTGTATAAACCAACGTTACGCAGATTTAATCCATTACTTACCAGACAAGACACTATTAGTAGGAGGGACAGAGGTTATTTCGTTTTTTTTAAGTATTAAAGAGCTTATGTATGTGTAAGGCAGTAAACGCTTTGAAGAATACTTAGCGGATAACTGTGTGGCATACTGGAGGGAAAGAAACAGTAACTCATTTAGCCTGTTTGGGAAGATCTCAAATGATAGCTATCTGTTTCTGCCTTACATTTCACAGCTGTTCTGTATTGTTCAAGGAATACGATCTGTAAATGTAATTTCATTTTGGTAGGGCGAAGAGAATTTTTGGAAGACATGTATTACTATTTTTCCCATTTTCAGGCAAAATTGTTTAAATATTTTATTGCAGTTAAATGACTAAGATTTCAGTTGGGAATGTTTTCATTCCTTGTCATTCACAGAACATCTGTGAGTGGTTTACAGTAAAGCTTGGCAGTAAGCCACAAGGATTTCCGTTTCCTAGTTATATAGGAGATAGCTGATCAACCTAATTAACAAAATAATGTTTTGCTTCCAATTTCATGCGCAATTTTGAACAAAAGCAGGAGTACATTTTTATGTCTATGTAATGAAACTGACTGAGACTTGCTTTTGAATGGGTGGGTATTTGGAAGGGAGACAATTTTTATTGGTGGCTACAGCGGGAAATGTTATAGCTGTAGGTTCAAGACATTCAAGCTATTTAATGCTTTGTAGTCCAGTTCCATGAAAATTCTTGTGTATTGGGACTGCATTGAGCCCCCACAACTCCTGTACGCCAGTCAAGTAGTGGTCTGTGCTATTTTCCTGAAATTACTGACTGGTTTCTATTCCAGGACAGTATGATCTGTCCCCCCAGTTGCTCTTCCTGTTAGGATCCTGTCATTGCACCAAGTACAGAAACTAGGAGTAGAACATCTCTCATGTTTCTCAGATAATCCTGACAAGAAGATAGAAACAGATTAACTGAAATGTGAAGAGGTGCATCGTGAGATGGAGAAGTGGTGACTCAGTACACTGAAACACTGGAATCGGGAATGCAGAAAAATGTAGAATCTTGTGAAAATTCAAAGTGTTTCAGTGAGCACTCAGATTTAGTGAACATTCTCACCTCTGTTGCCCCAATCCTCTCTTTGTCAAATGCGAATAGCAGCACTGGCTTACTGAGCAGGTACCATGAATATAAATTCACCGGTATTGAAATATGCATATATTGAGGTGCATAAGTAAACAGTATGCTGAATAAATTTAGAATCCACTGAAAATAGACTACTTTCTGCATTGAAAGTATCTTAACACTTATCTTTGTGTTAAATCATAAATCATGCTGCTTTAATATTTGTATCTGTGTTTGTAGGTAATAAATCCAAAGAAAAAAGGAAAAAAGAAAAAGTACATTAATTCTGGAACAGTAAGTAGATATATTTTATATTACTGGATGCTTTTCTCTTGAAACACAGTGTAGTTGACTTGTTATTTAATAGGATTCGAATAGAACCTTCTGTGAAGGCCACTATTTACTGTTATAGAGCATTTATTTTCAGATTTTTTTAATTTGAAGAATCTGATAGAAGTTGTGTCCAAGTGTGCTGTTCAGTTACCAACCATTTCCAAAATTAGTTATACCAAAATTTCGGTCAAATCCTTGAAATTATTGAACTGAACACTTAATTTTTATCTGAAATGTATCTGCATTTCTAAAAGTCAATTTTCTTTTTAAATGTAACTGCTGAGCTACCATCAGGAAAAGTTAGTAGATTTATCATGGCTAAACCAAAAAGAGTCACCATTTTATATTGCCAGCAGGTTTTTGTAAATTTATGTTGAAACATCTGTTAGTATAGTTTGGATTGAGAGTTTAATGTCCTTTCATTCATATTCCATATTCTATTTTATGAACCATTTGCTAGCAATGCAAATAATTCCCTTCAGCACTTTCTCAGCTTCCATGTTCTAGCATTCATGATGTTCAAAACATCACTTACAAAAAATGAAGATAAATGTTGAAGAATTGTGTATTGGAAAACTTAATCAGATATAAGATATGGTTTTTGAAAATGCATCGAGCATGTCGTTTTTTATTCCACATGAACAGTTCCACTGAAGTCAGCAGGGCTACTTTTGCTCTGAACTGTAGCCTTGAAGGAATGATTTGTCATTCTCACAGTCTGTTCATTTGTAGGAAACTAAACACTTATTTTGTACTGCTTTAAATTGTAAAAAATAGACAGAAGCAGCTTGTCCATGAAAATTTACCATGCAAGATCTGATTTGTTAGATAATTTGCTTTTTGCCAACATATTCCTTTTACTAGAATTCAATGTGTTAAAATAAAGTTCTATTATGCTAGGTCAGTGAGTTAGAAACTTACGTAAAGTGATTATTTTAAATGAATACAAAAAGTAAGTGTACTCAAAATTGTCAGTGTGAAATCTGGCTTAGGGTACAGAAGAGCAAAAAATGTGTTTACATGTTACATTTTCCTGTTGATTTTGGTTTTAAATATTTTAACATCTTCATATGTATCTGTCTGCACTTGAAAGACATATTTTACTCATGTTTGGACAGACAAAATAAACTGTGTCTTGTTATCCTTTGTCTCAAATTATATGGAAATTTCCAAACAACGGTTGTTAGCTATTTTCTTTCCTCTTTCCTTCTCTACCAGTGTTCTCTACTGTTGGTTTTGTAATTTTTTTTTTCTTTATCAAGTGTTCTTGCCCCCATTTACCCTTCCTTCTGTTAGTCCTTCAGGCTTCCCTTATGCTTCTCCAAATTGTCACTTTACTGTGTGTTTGCCTGCAGTTTTGGTTTTCTTCTCCCTGTCATTCACTGAAGATATTTGTTATCCCACAGATTTCTAAATTTCCAAACCATCCACCAAGACCATCATTCTCACTAATAGGAAGTTGACTTCTGGAAAACTTTAAGTAAAGTGGATATAGATCATTGACTGCTATCTCACTGCAGCTTTTAAGTGCTATATACCTGCAGTAGCCATCTCAATTTATAATTACTTAAGGGGTCATTTTAAATTCAGACAGACAACCAACATACTAAGCAGAAATGTTTCAGATACATTATTAGTTTCAAACAAAGCAAAGTAGTGAAATTTAAAATTCACTGTATAAAACTTGGAACATTGGTAGTCATTGTCTGTGTGGAAGTAAACCCTTTGGCCACTTTGGAACAGTGATGTCTGTTTCCGCTTTTAAAATAGATTCACTGAAAACATTTGCTTGAAGTAATTAGGAACAAGATGACCAACTGTAATAACAGATGAACCATTAAAATGACTGTGTCCAGTGGGCCAACTGTAATAACAGATGAACCATTAAAATGACTGTGTCCAGTGGGAAGACACTTAGAAATTTCAGTCTTATATGCAAGGCTATGCTACTGAAAAAAAAAAAAAAGAAAAAGCAATTGTAGTAGACTTCCAAATTTGTCTCTTCTCTTTCAAGAACTGCCTGTTGAAATGGTTTCTTTTTTTAAAAAAAAATCTTCTTTTTTCCCCTCATACTGTACAATATTTTGTTTTAAGGATAGAGCTCCAAAAACATTGTGCTTATGTCTCTACTTGTTCAGCTGGGAAATGACAATTCATGTCTGACTCTCTTTTATTTGCTTTCAGGTAACATTACTTTCCTTCCTAATTGAAACAGAAGTTTCATTCCTTGACTATATTAAAGGCGGGTATGTGATTGGCAACAAACCTTTCTTATTTTCACAATCTCATTGTAATTCATTAATAATTTGGGTATGTACTTTGCATATGATGACTCTAAGTAATTTTTGTGAAGACCTGTATAGTTTCCTCATTTTTTAGAGGCTGTACTTTCCTACATAAAACCTGCAGATAGTTATTGATGTAAGTTATGTAGTTATAACAAAGTTATAACTTCACTTATAATGTTAGAATTGGTGTTGATACTAAAACACTGAGCTTGAGTAATGACCTCTGATCAACCAGTGAAAATTGGATTAACCAAAAAGGAATTATCTATATACCATTAAATCAGTAAAATGCTGTTTGATTTCTTCTGATTACACTGACTTTTGGTGTGTTTAATATTGACATTTGTTTAGAGCCTTTCCTCTTCAAAGGCATTTTTTCAATACTAATTATGTAAAATTTATAACATGTCCATTTTCTCATTTATCGTCATTTTCCCAAAAGGGCAGTAGAGACAGAAGCATCAAATGGCTTACCCTAGAACATGCCTGGAAATGGGATCAAATTTCAGAAATTCCTGGCTCTTAACCTCCCTAACAGAACACAATTCTTCTCTAAGATAAACAGAAATAATTTGTTACACATTTCTAGGCACTTAGTATGGATTTTTGAGGCATACAGTATGAATATACATTCCACGTTTATTTTACAGCATTGATCACCTTGCTCACCTGAAGGAGCAAGTTACTTTTTTTGTGTCAGTCTTCAACCAGGCTTCAGCTGAAATCAAAAAGAAATCTGTGTTGTGTTTTGGCAGTAGCAGTAGAGGGCTTTGCCTTTGTTCCCGACAGTAGTAATCCTACAGATGAGAATATGCTTAAGGTTTATTCCTAGTACATTCATCGCTGAAGTTCATTAAGTTAAAATGACTCCCCCAGTCGTAACTGTTAGCTTACTGACAGTTTCTCTATAGCTATCTCCACTACCTTTGCATTCAAGGTTTTGAAAAAGTGCAGCCTGAGGTTGTACTCCATACCGAACTGATAACTTGTAGAGAGAATGGATTGTTGTAGAAATGTGCTCCAGATTTGTTGACTCTAACCTGTGGGCTGCTACAGAGTGTAATTTTTTTTTCTCTCTCAAGGACTAACAGCCTCTTTGATTTTTCAGTTCTCCCAGGCAGTTAAATTTTAAAGTTAGAAAATCCAAATTCACTGCTGTTCCATCTCCATCCAAGAAAATAAATATTTTCACTGAGTGAATTCAAAAAAATCACAAAACACTGTATCTTTTGGCTTATTAAGATTAAACCTGAAAATAATATTTTATGCATAATACTTAAAAATGGGAATGCTTAATTAAGGTTTTAACATGAATATAGACATTTTCTCTTTAAAATTCTTATTCAATATCTTTGGAGAAATTTGTGATTTGCCTTGCTCATTTGCTTGCTCTTTGGTGGCTGAAGAAACATTTTCTCATTTGGATAGGATGCAGAGCCTCTGCAACGTTTGATTCGATTGTTTGACATTACAATGTTGTCTGGTATACGTGACTGGTTATCGGTGACTTTGAGAGGGAGTTGTATAGGCTCATCATTGAGACGTGAAAGTAGTGGGACACATTAATGGAGGGAAGGGGCTGTGTCAGGGAGCCGTGGTCCCTCCCCAGCATAGCTGGGGAGCTGGGAGCAGAGCTGTGTAGCATGGCTGGCAGGGCAGGGTCTCACCAGGCAGGGCCCAGTTGTGCAGTACATGGGCAAGGCAAGCAGGGCAGGCCTAGAGATGGTGGCCAGGCTCAATTAAGGGTCTAGATCATCAGGCAAGTTTGTGGTGATCAGACAGACCAAGGCCAGGCTGGGAAGACAGACCACAGATCCATGTCAGGATCAGGTCCAGCAATTGCCCAGCAGGGCTGTGGTGGACAAGGCAGGGAGGTCAAGTCAGGAAGTGAGTCCGTGGGTCAGGATCTGGATTAATGGAGTCCATGGCCAGTCATGGACTTGGCTGAGCTGGAGACCTGTGTTCCTCTGATGTAGCTCAGGCAGGGACTGAAGGCTGAGCAGAAATGGGGCTCCTGAGCCTGTGAGGGAAGAGGAGTCATTTGGTAGAGGGCTGAGGTGAGTCTGTTTCGGGCATTTCAAAGTCTTTTTAGTACACTCAGCACCCCTACACTTTGTATGTTCCAGGATGCTTCTGGACTGCAAATTCTCAAGCTCTCCTAGAATTGCTATCCTTACCTTCACTTCACTTAACTGGAAACACTGCTGCTGGAGTACTTGTCTATATTTGCACTATTTGGATCCTATAGTTTCTCCTCAGAGAGAATTTAATTCAGTTGTTGACTGCATTAGAATCTGTTACAGTTTAGCAAAGGTAAAACTTACTAATATAAGTCAGGCATGCTATCAAGGTACTACTGCGTTGTTGTGGTTTTATAATAAAAGGACTGAGGGTCAAGACAAGAACAGAGAGGGAGCACCCACCAACCATGGTCCTGGGCAAAAAAAGACTTGGCTTTCTTAAAGCAAAACAATTTATTAACAGTTGCTTAAAAAGGACAAAGGGAAACAAAACCGGTTACTTGAGAGGATAAAGAGAAAACAAGGCCAGATGTTAAAAACAACACCTCCCCATCCCCCTTTCCTTTTGCTCCCGGCTCTACCTTCCCCCCGCGGTGCAGGGGGACAGGAAATGGAGGAGTGCAGGTCAGTTCATCCATGTTGTTACTGCCACTCCTTTCTTAAAGGAGGAGGAGTCCTTACACCATTTTCCCTTGCTCCAATGGATCCCCTACTCACGAGGAAAACTCCACAAACTTCTCCAGCGTGAGTCCTACCCGCAGAACACAATCCTTCCCCATCAGATTGCTCCAGTTCGGGCTTTACCACAGTCTTGGATTCTTAGGGAGTTGTGGCCACTCACTTCGCTGTGGATGGTCCCATGGACTCTAGATGCCTCACGACCTTGTCGTGCATCCCAAGCTCCATTATTAACAGTTACTTGTTGTGCATCCCATGCTCCACGACCTCTCTCAGGCTCAGGCATCTCTTCCCCAACGTGGGTTTCTCCACGGGCCGCAAGTGGGTCTCTGCTCCACTGAGCCCATCTTGGCTGCAGAGGGGCCACCTGCCATCTCGCCACCAGTTGCAGGGGAAACTCAGCTCCAGCACCTCCTCCCACTCCATCTTCAGTGACCTGGTGTCTGTGTGGCCGTTTCTCTCAGGTCTTAGTCCTCTCTGGGTGAACTCGGCCCAGAGGGCACCCCAGGAACGAGGTGCTCCCCGAGTTCCCCAAGCAGCTCCGTCGCCACCATCTTGAGCACATGGCGCCGGCCCGGTGTGGGCAGCCGCCCAGCCGGGGCCAGGGAGCGAGGGCAGTGCCCTCCTCCCCTGTCCTCGCTCCTGGGCAAAAGCACCTTTTCTGTTCCTTTGTCCCAACTTAAATAGGGCATTCGCAGAGGCGCCGATGATTGGCTCAACTCCGAGGGGGATGGGAGTCCGATATGGTGGTACAGGGAGCAAATCCCATCTCCTACCACCAGAACCCCCTCCCCCACATTGAACTATCACATGCATCTTTAACATCTGAAGAATATGTTAACTCTGTGTGCTGTAAAGAGAATTCTATCAGCACGTTTGCTTGATAATCTCTTCCTGAAGCACTTAGATTGCCATGGTTAGGAAACCAGTTATTTCTATGTTTCTGAGCCCATTTCTAATGATCAGTATGGCTTGTTGTGCCTGCTCTGAATCACTGGAACAGATAGACCGCTACTTGAGGTATCAGAAGAGTACTTGGAGCATCAAGGTTCTGGATGTGATTTCTGTATGAACAGTCATGGTCAATCAGCTGTGAAGCCCTTCTGATTTGTGCAAGTTTTCTGGTTTTAGTAGAGAATCCTAGAGTTTGAGAGAAATAGGTCACTTTTATTAGGACTGCTTTAGCCTTTCTCAGGAGTGTTCCTGTTGTGGCCTTAAACAGAAGTAGAAAACGGCCAGCCACCTATGTTTACCAAAAGTTTGTACTGAATGGAGCGTACGTATACACAGATGCATGAAGAAACAGTTTTACCCTTAGTCACAGAATCACAGAATGTTAGGGATTGGAAAGGACCTCAAAGGATCATCTAGTCCAATCCCCCTGCCGGAGCAGGACAGCTATTTGTTCTTTGAAGTGTGTTGTAGATACATGCCACAGCCATCTTATTTCCCATTCACTCAAAATTCATCTCTACAAGAAGAGTGTGTATAAGGAACTGAGGAATTAAGTTTTATATCTAAATTTGGAAAGAAAATAATATAGTGGGTGCATATGTAATCTTTTTAGGGTGGTTTATCACATTTCGCACTGAGATGTTACAATACAAGTTAATAAACCTAATTATCTACATTCTGTAGACGAAGAATAGGAATTCTGAATATAAATAATACTTTGTTGTTCTTACTGACATTTCGTACATATCTCTGTAACTGCAAGTCAAAGAAGACTTGTGATACTAGTAATTACCGCTCAAGCTTTTTTCCTCTCCTTTGTGTGATAAGAGTATGATTCAATAGAATGCTCTGTGCTTTGAAGTATAAGTATACTTACCATTTGATTATTTTATATAGAATCTTGTTTAGTGATTCATACAGTTATTTCTATGTACATGCCAGTGAAAACTGTAGAAGTACTTGTATAAAATGTTACCTTTCCTTGTGCAACCTATACAGTTTTGTTATCTGTAAACATGACCAGAGTTATTCCTTGACTATTTTTTTCCTTCCTTTGTCTCATTTAATACTACTACATGTCAGTTGCATCCAGTTGACAGATTTTGAAGGAAGGGGGAAGAGAAGATTTTGTCATTAATCACTCTGTTTTCTCATTGAGTATCTCCTCCAAAATTATTTTTTTAGTTCCCTGTTGTTCTTCCATTTAGTTAGGCAAGGGGAAGAAAAGACTGATTCTGCAGTAGGCACAATATTGACTCTTCTATAAATGGATGGTTTTGAAATACTTCATGTTCAGAACTTTTA